ATTAATACAGTACAAGATACAAGACACAGTGAAAATGAACAAGTTACAAGCAATTAGTGAGCATAGCGATCTGACGTTTATAGCGCGTGTGGTAAAATTTTCGTTAGCTGTGGTAAAATACAAGAGAAATGTTTGTGGCATTTTGTACTGAAAATCAACACAATATTCGCCTATGGAATTTAACGCAGTCAGTAAATATTTACCTATTTATTTTTTTCTGCGCATACAAAATGTATGAAAACCTTATATAAACATTAAAAAAATAAAACAATTCAAAACTGTTGACAATGCACATTCTGAATTTTGCGTTATAAAACGGTGCATATAGAGAAGATTCAGGAATGTAGCAAAGAATAAAAAAGAAAGAATGTGTGTATATGTGTATATAAGCTAAGACACACAGACATGATTCGTTCGCTGTCGATCAAAAATGTGGTTTCTGAAGCTGAAATCAACACATTTTATAACAGCACAAAAGGTGGCGTTGATCAGTTAGATCAACTGTGTCACAGCTATTCATGTCAACGAGGCAGAAATCGTTGGCCTTCCTTCATGAACTTGATCAATGTATGTGTACTCCACATTTTGGACTCGCTGCGTTCATTGTTTATAATGCAACACATGGAATTACACGAGATCGATATTCATTTCAACGCAAGAAATTTTTGATCGAATTATCGGAAGCATTGGTGTATGATCAATTAGCACGCAGATCCACTTATGGATTTAATAAAGCGCATCGAGCTGTACTCAGCACAGTTCAACAGCACCGTCAACTTCAACAACGCAAACCAAACAAGATAAAAAAAGTGCATGTCATTTATGTCCCACTAAAATCAATCGAAAGACGCGAACACAGTGCAGCAAATGTATGAAAAATGTTTGTGGTGAACATTCCGAAAGAATTGTGATGTGTACAAACTGCACCAAAAAGCGTCCGTATGAAACTGCATCATCAGATTCCAATTAATTTTGTCATAAATTATTTATTTCCAACCTTTTTTCCCATTTAAATAAAATTATAATGAAAATTTCAACAAAAAAATATATAATTTTGTTCATTTCATAGACTTTTCATACATTTTGTATGGGCGGTCCAATGGACCGACTCTATCCGTTCAAGTTTTTTCTTACTCTATACCTAGGAGGGTTAAAATGGCGACTACGAATTTCATAACATTTAATATGTAGTCAATCAATGGAATTTTCATTGGCGCTCCGTTTGCAAGTCCGTTTGATTGTGAACTATTTGAATTGTCTTGACTTCCGCTGCGTGAACAACCAGGTGCAACATCTCTTTGATTGTGATGTGATGATGTGGATTCTTCATCTTCATCATCGTCTTCTGTTAGAATAAAAAAATCAAATAAACATTACATTTATTATACATACATTCCCACAAAACTTCAAGAGTCCATATATTTCTGACATATATGAAATTTTAACTCCAAATTTTACATGGCGATATATATAAATTAAGCAATTTCTTACCTGAGCCAGTTTCAATATTGCTATTTGTTGAAGCTCCAATATTGTTACGAACTGAATCAACGGGATCATGGTTCAAATTAACAGAGCTGTTCACTCCTCGATTTATAGCATTATTAACGTGTAGTACACGAACATGAATTGATGGACGGCTGTTGTTACTACTGCTAGAACTTGCATTATTGCCTGAGCTCATAGTATTATTGCTTCCATTGCTTGAAT